TTATATTTTCTGGCTGAGTTTTCATCACATCGCCGGTTGTTGTTACACCAGTGGGTAGCTGGCCGCAGAGGCAATTCTGCAGAGGTTGTTGAAATCCCGAGCCATCTGCACGTAGCCACCCTCTCCCCAGCCACTCCCCCAGCTGTGACACACACACAAGGCGCACACTCAGACACACACACACAGACACACACACAGACACACACACACAGACACACACAAGGCACACACACAGACACACACAAGGCACACACACAGACACACACAAGGCACACACACAGACACACACAAGGCACACACACAGACACACACAAGGCACACACACACAGACACACACAAGGCACACACACAGGCACACACACAGACACACACACAGACACACACACAGACACACACAAGGCACACACACACAGACACACACAAGGCACACACACAGACACACACAAGGCACACACACAGACACACACAAGGCACACACACAGACACACACCAGGCACACACACAGACACACACACAGACACACAGACACACACAAGGCACACACAGACACACACACAGACACACACAAGGCACACACACAGACACACACAAGGCACACACACAGACACACACAAGGCACACACACACAGACACACACAAGGCACACACACAGACACACACACAGACACACACACAGACACACACAAGGCAAACACACACACAGACACACACACAAGGCACACACACAGACACACACAAGGCACACACACAGACACACACAAGGCACACACACAGACACACACAAGGCACACACACAGACACACACACAGACACACACAAGGCACACACAGACACACACACACAGACACACACACAGACACACACAAGGCACACACACAGACACACACAAGGCACACACACAGACAGCATGAGGATGTTGTCAATCCACTGCTGAACAGGGGTCTCCCTCATGTCGTCCAGGTCCTGAGGGTTGTGTGACCATACTTCACCATGCTGGTCAGCGTGAGTTGCTGAAGGCGGAGGGTAGTCATATATGTGGGAGCATAGTAGGATAAAATAATGGATTTTTTTGCTGACCTGCCATCTGCTTTCCACAAGGTATGCCCGCAGCAGCCTAGATAATGCAGGGTTTGTGAGCGCTCTTCAGATTGAATCCTGCTTAGCTTCCAAAATCTGAGATTGAGGAGATGGAGTGCCTTCCTCTGGGTGATCTGGTTATAGGCTCGAGGGTTAGTCAAGAGAAACTCTTAATGCCACCACTCACCCAACCACCTCTTACGTCCTGCTGTGCATGTTGACAAGCACAACATCAGTATTTATACAAACATACCCAGTGAAATTATATTGTAATAATATATTGCATTCACAAAGCACCTTTCCATTTGGGGAATCGGGGCACTGTACATCACAAAACATATCAATAGAATAGGCCAAGAGGAGGAGCAAACTGTGAAGACAGCTAGAAGCTAATTCAGATAGCTGAAAGGAAGCAAGATGAAAATATCGCCGTGAAGAAAATTAACCGATTCATGAAAGTCAGATCCAAACTCTTGAGCCGATTCATGAACGTGGCGGCGGACAGCTGTTTGCCGGTAAATGATCTGCAACGGTGGTTTTGCGACTCGTAACTTCTCCGGTCGAGCCGTGACAAATTGCACAATAGGGCAGGTTTTCTTTCCGTAACATCCACCGCCACCAGCACCATCCGTATAGCCGACGAAAACACCGCTTTGAAAGAGGAACAACTGAAAAAAAAATGTATTTTTAGAAAATATCGAATGTGTTTGACAGCGGTTCATCAAGACTGACATGGCACTGGCCGTGGGGAATGTCCCTTCCCCCCCACACCCCCCACGCCAACTTTGTGGCCCAGCACCTGGGTCCGTCCGCCAACCCCGTGCGTCCCCTGGAAAAGTTTGACCACGGCCGCCCGGGGGGGCCATCCCCTCCGTAGTGACGCCTACCTGTTCTTCACGATCCAGAATTTCTCTCCCTGCTCATCCGCGCCGTAGCCCACGACCAGCACGGCGTGGTTCAGTTCGTTCGTGCACAGCGTGTCCTTGTAGATGCCTGCAGGTCACGCGGACAAATGTAGGGCTCATCCGCTGCCGACCGATTTCCGCGTATGATATTTCCCAATTGCGCTTCCATGTTATAATATCGGTTGGCCTTTTTCTCTTCTGAAACTAAGCTAAACGATTTTCATTTTACCAGGCAAAGCCCGCTGAGCTATGTAGCTCTTTTTCAGAAGCGACCTGGCCACAATTGATAGCTCAGGGAAGCGGCTTATTGTGCGGAAACGTACAGCAGCCAAATACTCTAAACGCGTGATGTTGATTCTAAATGTGGAGGGAAAAACCGGAGAGAGACCCACACACACAGCAGGCGTCAGGGATCAAACTCACAACCTCCTGTACACCGGGCGAGGTAGCTAACATCCTCACCGGAATGGTAAAGCTGGAAGGACGCGAGGCTGCCGTCGATGGCGACCGACACCGGGCCCACGGAGGCCACGGCGTTCTTGAGGGCCTCCTCGTCGTCTTCGGTGACGTCCACGAAGCCGGCGGCCTCGCCCTCAGGGTTGTAGCTGCACGGCTCCTGCTGTGGCGGCGTGGACACGAGCACAGAGCTTTACAATCAGGAGGTGGTGGTGGTGGGGGGGTCACCGAGGAGCATGGAGAGCCTCCGAGGTGTTGGAGTCGCGCGGAAAATAAAGTGGCGGGCGGGCGGGCGGGAGAAAAAAATAACCGACGATCGTGAATATTTGAATCATTTGGCGGGACCCCGGGTCAATAATAATAATTATGTTTCAGTCCGTCCCACTACGTGATCCCGACATCAACGCGCCGCCCGCCCAGACTCGCACCAACAGCAGCAGCAGCAGGCGGCGATCACCACGATGGGCGCCACCCCACCGGTCAAACGCAAGCCCCGGGGGGCGTCCGCCCGCAGTCGCCCTCCGGTCAGCCGTCGACCCTCAGCTTCTTTGCCAAGGCGAGCCCCACCGCCACCCCCCCAGGCAGTGAATTTAACGTGCTTGTGTAATTTTTCAACTTTTTACGAAACTTAAGTGTCCCCGAGTAGCTCTCGACGAGGCCAATCGATTGACCACTAGAGTTTTATTTTTTGATTTAAAGCTTTCGTGACTGCAGTAATTCATATTCTTAGTTCTTTCGGTAAAGTCACGTTATATATTTTATTATTTTATTGTTTCTCTTCACTAGAGTTTTGTTGTCGGTAAGGCTACACGGTTTTTCCCACCCCGGGGCAGCGATGGGACCCCGGGGTCCCGCCAATTGCTTCATTTATCGATGCCGATGAGAGACAAACATAAAAAAACGCGTCGCGATGTTAGAAGTGATTTGTGCAAGAACTTAAACATATTCCAGGTTGAAAATGCGCGAAAATGGATCGGTGGTCCGATGGGATGGATCCGTAAACTCTTAACTCGCGGTAGCTGCATTAGTTTTGACCCCCCCCCCCCCAAAACCAATGAAACGTCACGTAAATTATAGCAACGTAGCGATATCAATCCACGTGCACGTCGCATCAGTTTAAAAATAAAAAGTTCCTGTCAAGTATTCCCTGGGGAATTGCTTCAATTAATCGGCCCATATATCTGGCTCTGACCTGGCCCTGTCTCTCGTGAAGCCGTGGCTCAAAGCGCCGAACTTGAGCCAGCTCCGTGGAAAAAAAAACCCTCACCATGGACAAGTCCTCGTTTAACGCGGTGGAAGGAGACGCGTTCCTGAAAAGCGCCGCGTTCAGCTGAAAACGCCTAAACCGAAAACGATTTCCCCTTAAATCGTGTAGCGATCACAAAGTTTGGCGAGCTACAATGTGCGCAGACGCGGTGAGATGGCGGGACAAATAACTGCGGGTATGCCGCCGCGTTACTGTATCACTCCGCATACAGAATCGTATTGCTGAGCCACGCGGTTCAAGAAAGTAGTTCAGCGTCGACCGCTGAGAAACGGCGTTATAGCGGTGCACGTTACGCGTTATAGCGGTGCACGTTACGCGTTATAACAGGTGACAGATTCCACGTTATATCGGTGCACGTTACGCGTTGTAACAGGCGGCAGATTCCACGTTATAACGGTGCACGTTACGCATTGTAACAGGTGGCGGATTCCGTGTTATAATGCCGCACACGTGGGAGAACCACGTTATAGCGAAAACGCGTTGCAGTGTGAACACCGCCACATGTTAAGCGAGGACTTACCAATACTTTAGATTAAAAAAACACAACATTTTATATGTTAAATACATACTGTATGTTTCAGCTACTAACGCTGGTGGTTTACATAATTACATTTCATATTCTGTGTTCAGCTAAGGCAGGGGTGGGGAACCTTTTTTCTGCCAAGGGCCATTTGGATATTTATAACATCATTCGCGGGCCATACAAAATGATCAACTTAAAAATTAGCCTGTTATATTTGGTCAAACATTTAATTATCTTATCCCTAATGTGATGGCTTGGAACGGCTTCTCTTTGGTGAGACGTGTGACGATGTTGCTACTGTTTTTCCAGGTTTGCTCCTAGATTAAATTGAATTTCGAGTCCCACCTGCGGTTGCCTTGGCAGGGCCAGACCAAATTATTTCGTGGGCCTTATACGGCCCGCGGGCTGGACGTTCCCCACCCCTGAGCTAAGGGTATGTTTTTTTTTAATGACAACCAATGCTATTTGCAGCATAGCATCGAAGTTGGCCGAGCGAAAATTAAATCAAACAAATCACGACGTTTCGGTCGCAACGCAGACGACCGCTTGCGTTGCGATCGAAACGTCCTGATTTGTTCTAATTTATTTCTACCCGCGTGACTTTACCGAAAGAACCAAAGAGTATGGATTCCTGCAGTCACGAAAGCTTCACATCAAGAATGACACGCTTGGGCAGTGGATGCGTTGACGGTGCGGTCGGGAAACTTCGATGCCGTTTGTTTCATCCTCGGATCGTGGCCAGAAAATGTCACGCAAGATACAGGCATGGAGTTGAAAATCTTTATGAAGAAAGAGAGGAGCCGTCAAAAGTTCACATCTCTCTACGCTTAAAACGTAACTGACAACCGAGAATGGAAGCGACGGAATCACGTTACTTTTGACCTTGTTCCTCAAGTGTCGATCAACACAGCACCAACTGATCACGTGACGAAACATCTACAATTGCGCAAATAACAATTTCCGAGAGGAGAAAAAATGACCGCGGAACATGGGCCGCACGTCGTCGATCCGAACACGATTGGATACAGCGTCCTCTAAACATCGTTCATGGATATGCAGCGTCACACGTATCCACCGGCTTTTACTGGTTAAGGGAGGCCCTCGTGTGTGTTTTGGGTTTTTTTTTAAACCGAAGCTCAGAAATTTCACAACGAGCAGAGCCAATGAAATACTGGAGGAGGAATTCGATGCGCCGGAAAGCTCTTTTCGCACCACAGATGTCCAGTGCCGAGGGGGTCCGTGAGCCGAGTCTGCACGGAGAACGCAGCGCCGGGCGGACGGCATCCACCGTCGTGTCTGGCGTTCGAGATCGCGACTTCAAGAATTTGGCACTCATCAGTTTACGGGGAGGTTTTCAGCAATGATTTTGTACCTTTCCTATTGTTTTTTTTGGTTTGTTTGTTATTTTAATGATGTGAAAGTAACAATGTTGTTAATAAAAAGAAGGCAACGTTGCTATTTGTAAATGTGGCAAACTTTTGGTCGTCGTTGATTTCCATGGAATTTTGTTCAGGTTACCCTGCTCCTGAATTATCGAGGTATTTCGAGCACACACTGTGAAATGTTTTTAAAAGGCAGCGATTAAAGAAATATACGGATGAATACAGCGCTAATAAGGTCACCACAATTATTTGTATTGAGGTAGGGAAATCAGGTGCTTATCGCAAAGCTTGTAACGATTCATAATCATTCAAAATTCATATTGAAACTATATTCGGGCGTGTGACTTCGCCAGCAGCTTTCGCCTAAATCGCCCTCCTTGCCCATTGTTCTCCGTCGACCGCAAAAAGGGCAAACAGCGAGTTAGCAACAGGAATGTAACGCACGATTTGCTAAACGTTGCCAGCGGAGTGCAGCCGTAACGCTCACCGATCGCGACTCTGCACAGTTTTAACCAAGGCTGCGGGCAAAAAATGTCACACACCCTTAAAAAAAAAGAATTAATCGTGATTCGATTATTTAATCACGTTGCTATTTAACGATTCGTGATCCCAATTAAACGAAATAATCGTGAAGCACTTCTGGCCAATGGAGTCTCTAAAGCGGCGGCAGGAGCAAGGTTGTAAATAGACCCTGGCTCGCTCGCTCTCTGTCACATCGCCGGTTGTTGTTACACCAGGGGGTAGCTGGCCGCAGAGGCAATTCCACAGAGGTTGTTGAAATCCCGAGCCATGCGCACGTAGCCATCCTCTCCCCAGCCACTCCCCCAGCTGTGAGACGCACACACACAGACACACACAAGGCACACACACAGACACACACAAGGCACACACACAGATACACACAAGGCACACACACAGACACACACAAGGCACACACACAGACACACAGACAGACACCCACAAGGCGCACACACAGACACACACAAGGCACACACACAGACAGCATGAACATCGAGATACTCGGTTTAGTTTTACAGACCGATGGGACAAAGGCCATTCATAAGAAACCGTGAAGGCCCCACCATCAAAATACATGTTACATGGCCACCTTTTCTCCCTACTCATTGTCTTCACAACACAAGAGCAGCATACATACAATACGGTAATTTCTTGCCAACCACGAATTCGCCAACCGCGAGATTTGATGAGTACACGCGGGTTCACGTCTCCGTACACCGGTTTACCAACCGCGTGCATCTCGGTTTGAGCGATACGCGGATCGGTGGTGCGCGTCGAGTCGTGAAAGCAAAATTGTCGCTGCCTCGTTGCATCGGTCACGCGCTGTACACAAATACACGGTGCTGTGATGTACTATAGATAGAATGGGACAGATCCATCCGAGCTGGATCTGTATCAGACGCTGAACTTTACTTCATACATCATCATTATCATATTCTTAGCTCTTTCGGTAAAGTCACGTTGAAGGGAAACAATAAAATAATCAAATATATATAAAACAATAAAAATTCTCACGACGTTTCGACCATAACACAAACGATCATCATCAGGTTTGTGTTATGGTCGAAACGTCGTGAGAATTTTTATTGTTTTATATACATATTTTATTATTTTATTGTTTCCCTTCAACGTGACTTTACCGAAAGAGCTAAGAATATGAATTACTGCAGTCACGAAAGCTTTAAATCAAAAATCATCATTATCATCATCATCAGCCAGGGGCCAATCCACTGCTGGATTAAGGCCATTCATGATCCTGCTGACCCTGCGACGCAGTAATACACCCAGCACCTGCACATTATCTGATCTCATCACTCCCTCATCCTGCGTGGATGTCCACTCGGACGCGTTTCCTGGCTGCCACGCTCCCGTTGTTGTTATTCTCGATCACCGGCCATCGTCCCCTTCTAGGAATGCGTCCTGCCCAGGCTCACTTATTTTATTCTTAAGTTTTTAATTATGTAACTAATACTAAGATAAAAAAAAACACTTTTTATTTTTATTTTACCGGGTAAGACCCACTTAGCTAGACAGCTCTTATTTTCAGAAACGACCTGGCCACATGATAGCCCAACAAGCGGCTTATCATGTGGACATTTACAGCAGCCAAATACTCTAAGTGTGTGCCGATTCTAAATGTGGAGGGAAACACCTGGAGGCCCCGGAGAAAAATGCACACGACCACGGGGAAAGAGAATCACGCAAACTCCAAATATACAGCAGGCATCAGGGTTGGGATTGAACCCACGACTTCCTGTATAACCAGGCGAGGTCGTTAACATCTCGCTACCTAATCTGTGCATGTTCTCGAAATTCGTGTGTTCCTCTTTCTCTCGATCAATGCAATTCCAGGTACTACATCCCTCTGGCCTTCTCCGCACACTTTTCACTTTTTCTTCTGCACGTTTCATCAACGGCCGTGTGTCAGAAGGGCAGCGGCACAGTGTAGCAATGCACACTGTGTGAAAATCTTCTTCTTTGGGCATATCGGAATGTTACTTGCCAATATGTTTATTGACCATTTGTTGATTGATCATTGCCAATGTATGTATTTATCATTTATGTAGCATATACATATTGATAATGTACTTACTGATCATCGTCAATATATGCATTGATCCCTTAAATCCACTTGATTCTGCATTTTTCATTCTTTATCGGAATAGAGACTCATGCCGTTTGATGATCTACATTAAACTTAATCTGGCTTCAAGCTTGTCATGAAGCCCATTATCCAATAAATTTGATGAAGCCCATATCCTTGCTTTTTTTTTAAGTATTGCCCACAATTAACCATTGCCCCAAGGAAAACCGTGGTGAGAGAGCTTGGCTTACAATCCGAAGATGAGTTGACCCTTGTCATAGAAATGTGGAATTTCTCCCACTTGGGCTCAGGGCCACCGATATGTGTTTTTTTGAGTTTCTAATTTGAGACAATTAGCTCTCGCTTATTGAGCGCAGCCAAGTCCTTGCAGGCACGCACCTGTTCTTGACGAGCCAGAATTTAGTTCCATACTGATCCACGCCAAAGCCCACCACCAGCACGGCGTGGTTCGACCTTTGGCTGCAGCAAGTGTCCTTGTAGATGCCTGCGAGTCACGGGGTCAACGCACAATACGCCAACGACAGAAGCATCGATGCCAGGGCACTGCCACCAACAATATTACGCACGTAATCACGGGCGGAGTTTGCGACAGGGGGGACACGGGGCGGGGGGATGGGGGGCAATGCCCCTCCCAAACTGGACACCTTTATTAATTTATTTCGATAGTTTACAAAAGAGATTGAAACATAATTCATTATATGCATCCGCGATTCCTAATGTGAGAGACAAAGCAAACCCCTGCCCCCCCCCCCCCCAATAGAGAAGTGAAACTCCGCCATATGCATGTGATTTTTCACATTTTAATGTTCGTGAATTGAACTGCAGGGTTACTGGAGTGCTAACCGAGAAAAGACGCATCCTTCTGAAACGTTAAAATGTTTGATGATGTTTAAAAAAAAACAAAATCACCTGCAGATGGTTCAATTGCGAAAAAAAACGCCACATTGCAACATCGCTCACCGCTGCAAAACTGAGCAGAACCCTCATTAAAAAAAAGGGATTTGAGACTCAGTGAGGCTTTCCTGGGTATAAATAACTAAATCCAGGTGTTGACCTCTCGTATAGGGTCAATAAAATGAGAAGCACTGCGAAACGTTAACAACATAGAAAGAGAGATTGTTCCTCACCATAAGAATGTGACATTTCCATTTCTGGCTCAGGGTGCCCAATGTTAACATCTCGCCACCGTCGCCATGGTTGTGAGATGTTAACTGCCTCTCCTGGTAAACAGGAGATCGTGGGTTTGAACCCGAACCTGATGCCTGTATAATTTAAGTTTGCATGTTCCCCTTGTGATGGCGTGGATTTTTCTCTGGGGCCTACGGTTTTTCCCTTCTCATTTAGAATCAGCACGCGCTTGGAGTATTTGGCTGCTATATATTTCCACGTGATAAGCCACTTCGTTGAGCTATCATTTGTGACCAGGTGGCTTCTGAAAAAGAGCTACGTAGCTCAGTGAGACCTTACCAGGTAAAATATAAAATAGTTTAGTTGAGCAGTATACATATAGTGGGCTGGTCCCAATTTTCACGATGGCTCACCGAATCTGTAGAACCTAAAAGATGGGCAGCTGGCGTCAATGGCGACGGACACCGGGCCGACGGAAGCCACGGCGTTCTTGAGGGCCCCCTCGTCCATGAAGGGAATATCCACGAAGCCGGTGACCACCGCGGCCTTGTACTGGGGCTTGTACCTGCACGGCTGGTCCTGTGCGACACGTAAAACACGTGACCCACACCCCGAACACATCACCGTCAATAATGCCATTAATTTATGTAATATAACCAGAAATAATTACTTAGACAATAATTATAAACAAAATATAGTGTGTGTATAAAGCACACACTGTATTTCACGAATTGGACGCAACCAATACAACACGTTTCAATTACGCCACAAGTATATGTGGTTAATGCAGACATGATTCCTTGTAAAAGGTTTCTGTTTGGTGTTTTAACATCTTAACACAACTGTTTTATTGCCAGAAAGGGTAAAACCATATTCTTATATTGTGATACTGGCAAGGGAGGTCCCATGATTTAAAATGTAACAAAACGTGGGTCAGGATCAAAGCTACAAATCACATTTGCATGAGCGGCTGTATCCAGCACTACCTGCGGTCACAGCCTCCAATTCCCTAACTCCCTCACCTGTGCTACGTAGGGATATGACGCCTCCGAGTCGATGCCTCCGTTTTGCATGATGTAGATGAACGCGCTTTTCATGAATCCTCCAAAACAGCCTCTATTGCCCTGGGGCCAGGAACAGTCCACCAGGTTCTGCTCGCTCAGCGACACGAGCACTCCCGCCTTGCGCTTTTGCTGCCCCTCGAGGGAGCCCGTGGCGCTGAACGCCCAGCAAGAGCCGCAGTTGCCCTGCGGAGCAGAGTGGAGATCGCGAGACGACGCTCAACGGGACATTGGCGGAGCCGTATCATGCCAAGGAAAGCTCATTTGTCAACGGAAGGGTAGGAGAGACGGAACGGACGGCCAAACGCGCTGACACACCGTGGCAAGCGATGCATGTGAATGAGTCCCCCCTTGGCCTTCGACTGCGCCGGGTTCGTAGTGCAGCGTGCTAGCCGCTATGCTAACCGCTCCCCGCACGACAGGCCCTGCAGAACAGAGCGAGAGACGCGTGCAGAGACGGGGCTCAATTTAAGATTGGAGCCGCATCCCGGAAAATAAATGTTCAGTCGTAACTTTTGTCAGCAGAAGGGTAAGAGAGCCAGAAAGGACGAATAAACGCGCTGACACCACGGCATGGATGCTTTTGAATGCGTCCCCCGCGGCCTCCGAATGCGTGTGCTTGCAGAGGATGCAAGGAATTTCGTGGCAGGATCTTTTGAGAGATTAAAAATTAAAGATGGAACCTGGAAAAAACGTTTCGTCGACCTAATCAGGGAGAGGAGGATGTGATAGATGGAACAGATGAGCAGGAAGGAGACGGCCAGGTGACTGAGACAGGTAATGGAGTGGTACCCAGAGGTCAGTGATAAAGAGGAAGACCTACAGCCCAATGGTGAGACACTGCAAGAGCGATTCATTGCGGGTCAAATGTCAACTTTGCAATGGCTCACGGATCTGGTAGAAAAGAAGCAACACCAAATGTGGTGACAATAATCGCACTATGTTTCTATTTTGAACTTCTTCCGCACCGTACGTAGCCAACCCTGCTGAGGCCAATGACGACCTCTCGATCTTTTACCTGGTCTTTGACATCAGTGACGTAGCCCTGCTTCCTCCAGTCCACATTCTCAGGGGCTTCAAAGTCGGCGGGCGCCATGAACGCGGACCCGTTGGAATCCTTGCCGGTGCTGTTCCAGCCTTTGAAGCACAGCATCAGCTGCCGGAACTCCTCCGTTGTCTGCAGGGGACGCGCATTTACGATGGACGTAAACTCTCGGTTGCTTCAAATTTGCGTGACGTCAAGTCAGAATTTCAAGCCAAAGCATCTGCATGCACAAACGAGCATTGAGGTTGCACATTGCCGTCTGCAGCCCTGAGCCAAAGGTGGAAATTCCCAACAATAGAAATTGCTAAATAATTTGGTGGGGCTCAGGCCGGGACTGGCCATAGGGCAGTCCGGGCAAGTGCCCGGTGGGCATGCTAATCGGAGGTGAAGTGTCGAGGAGGTATGCGATGTCCTGGCTCACCATGTCGCTGAATTGGTTCATGCCCATGCTCCAGGTGTGCTTGCCCATGGAGTATTCCAGGTTGTGCATGGAGATCATCTTGAGGTTCTTCTCCCAAATCATCCTCCTCCAGCCCTCCTCCTCCTGCAGCACAGCAGGCAGAGCGAATGCATCACAGAATGCAACGTACGTTGAGCCAAGTGGTCCTGTAGGTCTGTGGCTAGAACAATCGAAATGCAAAGGATAATCGGCGCTATCATCGTTCTTATTGTTTACAAAAAGAGCACCAGTTTTTCGAGCTGTCAGCTGCGATGTGGAATTTACACCACCGCCTCAAGGCTGTGAATTGATATTACTGTTGGGCCACATTTGCCGTTTTCAGCTGGAAAATACTTTGTGAATAAAAAATGTCATTCCCATTTTGTTATTGCCTTCAATAGCTATCCCAGGTATATACAACGCTCTACAACGTGGACATCTCTGAACAAGGAGCCGCTCTACAACGCTCTACAACGCTCTACAACGCTCTACAACGCTCTACAACGCTCTACAACGCTCTACAACGCTCTACAACGCTCGTGCGATGCGAGCTCATGGCCGCGCCATGCGGGCGGCGCCGTGCGTTGTGGTCACGACCGACCTCGCCGTAAGTCTTGCCGTGAAACTCCTTCCAGGACTCCCACTCGGGCGACAGCTCCGGGTCGAGGAAAGGAGAGGCCACGGCCGCAGAGACCAACGCCACGACCCCCAGCAGAGCGACGAGCAGCAGCTTCATCTTCGTCTTCTTCCCGTCAGGACCGGCTGCAAGGCAGGAGACAACGAGAGGAGGATGAGGAGTTAAACGTGGGAACTATCCCCCCCCCCACCCCTATTCTTTGGGTCTTTCGGTGAAGTCACAGTAGATAGGTTCAAAGAAAATAACAGAAAAAAACTACGACGTTTCGATGACGACCGCTTGTGTTGCAGTTGAATTCCTGCAGTCACGAAAGCTTGGAGTCAAGAATACCCCCCCCCCCCTCTCTCTCCTCGTACAGCCCCTTTACAGAGGCTGATGAGTCCGTGAACTTTCAGCGACAGCCTTTGCACTATTGGTCGTCAGACACCGTCTGACGTTTTCATGTCACATGGGAAACTATGGTGGACATACGGAAAAGATACCCCCCCCCCCTATAATATATCCTGTTGGCACCAGTGCTGTTAGCCAACTCCTATTAAGGCTGGCACGAGGTTAGTGGTGTTGCAAGAACCACGCCTGGCCACCTCTTGTCTTCCCATTGCTGATTTCACGCCGCGTTAGGTGTTGGAAGTGGAGTTTCACCTCATTGGACAATGCAAGTAAGAACACGGTCAACAGCGAGTGTCTGTAGAGGCTCACCTTATCTGTGAGTAGCGAGAACGTCAGACACACAGAGGTGTGTGTGTGTGTGTGGGGGGGCTACCTTATATTATTTAAGCCTAAGCCGAGAGGGCCTTATGATTGGTCACCACTCTCGTGACAGTACGTCTCATGAATCGGAGTCAGGTTTCTCGCCAGTATGGTTCAGACACACGTATGTGCAGCTGTGAAAATGAAACAACCCGTGCTGTAACTCGAAGGAAATGAATGCACATTACAGAAACAGTGAAATATATATCAACGATTTTCCTCTTCTTTTAAATACTGAACTACATTAAGGTCGCACCGTCCAAAGTGATCGTTAGTCAATAAAGAATGTGGAAATTAAACAGATAAGTGAAGTGAAAGTTTGTTGACGTCAATTGTGTAAAAATCAGGCAAATGAAAAGAGGAAGTGCTGATGCAAAGAATCATTATGACCTTCAGTACAAAGTCATCAAGTTTAAGTCTAGGGCTGACATGGCATTCCGGGTGCCCCACGAAAATGAAAAATTACAGAGAGAAAAAAACCAATATTGTTTCAAAGCCTCTACATGTCTTACACCAATCTCCATACCGTTTAAGATACGGATCCATCGCTTTTTTATTATTCAATCCCCTGACGATAAGAACGTAAGAGAGTCATGAGAAATTAGTGTGTTATCTATTAAAAAAAACAAAACTTGTAATTTTACCAGGTAGGCCCACTGAGCTACATAGCTCTTTTTCGGAAGCGACCTGGCCCACAAATGATATCTCAACGAAGTGGCTCGTTGTGTGGAAATGTATCGCAGCCAAATACTCCAAACACATGCTTCTAAATGTGGAGGAATAATCCGGAAGACCCGGAGAAAAATCCATGCGACCACGGAGAGAACATGGAAACTCCAAATATACAGGCGTCAGGGTCGGGATAGAACCCACGACCATCTGCATACCAGGCGAGGGAGTTAACATCTCGCCACCGTGGTGGGTCACCCTGTATTTCTGCGAGTGACGTCAAGTCACCACTCATGGCATTTGAACTATTACCTGGTAAGCAGATTTCACATTGAGAGGGCCCAACATTGAGATGGTTGGCCAATTTTTACACGCTTTCTATTAACTCACTCTGTCTGTTGTTGTCGTATCATCAAATCTTGTAACTCAATTTTAACCCACTTCCCAATGTGGTATCGACTGCAAACTTGGTATACTTATGCCATACTGATGACAATGCTATATTGTGTCATAAAAATTAAGGAAATATATTTTAAAACATTCTTTTTTATGTTATGTTTCGCCTTGGGTCTTATTGTCCACGCTCAACTCACGTTGGCTGTAATTGGCCACGGTCCCCTTACGTTGTGGCAAGCTTCGGGGCCACTTCCTGGAGTCGTGGAGTTCTTCCATTACTAGTAGGGTACATTTCATTAAAGCGTGTTTTAAAAAAAAGTTTTAAAATATTATTTATTTTTGAGTACCCGGAAAAACCCAAACATAGGAGGGTATAAAACTGAAAGGCGATGCACAGATTGGTTCAGTTGCTTTGTGGTGCCATCTCCTGGCCACCTCCACCGTCCAAGTGATTAAATGTCACGGTAAAAATGTGCACCATCACTTTTGTCAATCCACTGGTGGATGAGGGACCCTCCATGTGATTGTGCTGTGCTCCACCACCCTTGGTTAGGCAGGGACGGTAAAAGTAGGGAGCATTAAAACGAAATTAGACTTGTTATTTTACCAGGTAAGGCCCACTGAGCGATACAGCTCTTTTTCAGGAGCGACCTGGCTAACACAAATGATTTGCTCAACAAACGAAAGTGGCTTATCATCAAGTGGACATTTACAGAAGCCAAATACTCTAAAACTCGCGTTTCTACATTTGCACAAACAGATCGTCATTGGCCAGGGGGTGAGCAACCAAAATAATAATGAAATAATAATTATACCTTTTTTTCCAAATTCGCGACACAACTCAATACAAGGACACCTCTACTTACGAACGAGTTAGGTTCCAGAGGCCTGTTCGGAAGTCGATTTGTTCGTACGTCCAACTTTACTCCCGTCGATTCCAAACATGTTGTAGGGCATGTACACTAAACACGGAGAATGACTTGAAAAGTTGTACAAGCTCCTGTAGATGCCACTGGTTCTTCACGTTCTGCAGATGTAGATGCCACTGGTTCTTCACGTTCTGCAGATGTAGATGCCACTGGTTCTTCACGTTCTGCAGGTGTAGATGCCACTGGTTTTTCACGTTCTGTAGATGTAGATGCCACTGGTCCTTCATGTTCTGCAGATGTAGATGCCACTGGTTCTTCACGTTCTGTAGATGTAGATGCCACTGGTTCTCCACGTTCTGCAGATGTAGATGCCACTGGTTCTTCACGTTCTGTAGATGTAGATGCCACTGGTTCTTCACGTTCTGTAGATGTAGATGCCACTGGTTCTTCACGTTCTGCAGATGTAGATGCCACTGGTTCTTCACGTTCTGTAGATGTAGATGCCACTGGTTCTTCACGTTCTGCAAATGTAGATGCCACCGGTTCTTCACGTTCTGCAGATGTAGATGCCACTGGTTCTTCACGTTCTGTAGATGTAGATGCCACTGGTTCTTCACGTTCTGCAGATGTAGATGCCACTGGTTCTTCACGTTCTACAGATGTAGATGCCACTGGTTCTTCACGTTCTGTAGATGTAGATGCCACTGGTTCTTCATGTTCTGCAGATGTAGATGCCACTGGTTCTTCACGTTCTGCAAATGTAGATGCCACTAGTTCTTCACGTTCTGCAGATGTAGATGACACTGGTTCTTCACGTTCTGCAGATGTAGATGCCACTGGTTCTTCACGTTCTGCAGATGTAGATGCCACTGGTTCTTCACGTTCTGCAGATTTAGATGCCACTGGTTCTTCACGTTCTGTAGATGTAGATGCCACTGGTCCTTCATGTTCTGCAGATGTAGATGCCACTGGTTCTTCACGTTCTGCAGATGTAGATGCCACTGGTTCTTCACGTTCTGTAGATGTAGATGCCACTGGTTCTTCACGTTCTGTAGATGTAGATGCCACTGGTTCTTTGCGTTCTGCAGATGTAGATGCCACTGGTTCTTCACGTTCTGTAGATGTAGATGCCACTGGTTCTTCACGTTCTGCAAATGTAGATGCCACCGGTTCTTCACGTTCTGCAGATGTAGATGCCACTGGTTCTTCACGTTCTGTAGATGTAGATGCCACTGGTTCTTCACGTTCTGCAGATGTAGATGCCACTAGTTCTTCACGTTCTACAGATGTAGATGCCACTGGTTCTTCACGTTCTGTAGATGTAGATGCCACTGGTTCTTCATGTTCTGCAGATGTAGATGCCACTGGTTCTTCACGTTCTGCAGATGTAGATGCCACTAGTTCTTCACGTTCTGCAGATGTAGATGCCACTGGTTCTTCACGTTCTGCAGATGTAGATGCCACTGGTTCTTCACGTTCTGTAGATGTAGATGCCACTGGTTCTTCACGTTCTGCAGATGTAGATGCCACTGGTTCTCCACGTTCTGCAGATGTAGATGCCACTGGTTCTTCACGTTCTGTAGATGTAGATGCCACTGGTTCTTCACGTTCTGTAGATGTAGATGCCACTGGTTCTTCGCGTTCTGCAGATGTAGATGCCACTGGTTCTTCACGTTCTGTAGATGTAGATGCCACTGGTTCTTCACGTTCTGCAAATGTAGATGCCACCGGTTCTTCACGTTCTGCAGATGTAGATGCCACTGGTTCTTCACGTTCTGTAGATGTAGATGCCACTGGTTCTTCACGTTCTGCAGATGTAGATGCCACTAGTTCTTCACGTTCTACAAATGTAGATGCCACTGGTTCTTCACGTTCTGTAGATGTAGATGCCACTGGTTCTTCATGTTCTGCAGATGTAGATGCCACTGGTTCTTCACGTTCTGCAGATGTAGATGCCACTAGTTCTTCACGTTCTGCAGATGTAGATGCCACTGGTTCTTCACGTTCTGCAGATGTAGATGCCACTGGTTCTTCACGTTCTGTAGATGTAGACGCCACTGGTTCTTCACGTTCTGCAGATGTAGATGTCACTGGTTCTTCACGTTCTGCAGATGTAGATGCCACTGGTTCTTCACGTTCTACAGATGTAGATGCCACTGGTTCTTCACGTTCTGTAGATGTAGATGCCACTGGTTCTTCATGTTCTGCAGATGTAGATGCCACTGGTTCTTCACGTTCTGCAGATGTAGATGCCACTGGTTCTTCACGTTCTGCAGATGTAGATGCCACTGGTTCTTCACGTTCTGCAGATGTAGATGCCACTGGTTCTTCACGTTCTGTAGATGTAGATGCCACTGGTTCTTCACGTTCTGCAGATGTAGATGCCACTGGTTCTTCATGTTCTGCAGATGTAGATGCCACTGGTTCTTCACGTTCTGCAGATGTAGATGCCACCAACGCCATCTGTTGCGAGGCGGTTGAACTTACGACTCTCGGTCCGAACAGGCAACTGGACATACGGACGAGGTTTGTTCGTATCTCTGAAAGTTCAAGTCTTCATTAGTAGAGGAGTCCCCGTATTTCAAGAGCCGCAATGCGTGCGAATAAAAAGATGAAGATCCCCCGTATAGCCTTCACATGCTGTAGGGGCAAGTGCTGTTAACGAGCACCTATAAAGGTCGGCACGGCACACGAGGGGGTGGGTGGCCAACACCACGCCCGGCCGCCTTTGTCTCCCCAGTGGCGATGTTTACACATCGCACCAGGTACTCGTTTGAGGCTGAGTCGACCTAGGGGAGACCCAGTATCGGTTCAGATAATCGTCACTGGTGTCGGCCGTGAGCGGAATTCGAACCCGGGTCGCCAAGTTCGTGGCGCATGAGTGCGCTACCCGCTACTACAATCAGTGAAGAGACGCCAACCCCTGGCCTAGATCTAGAGGAGGACTACATGGTAGGCAGCAGAGGGGAGTGCAGCAAACGTGGCACGTGACGTGCCCTGCCTTTATAGTCGCTCGTCTTCGCCAACCCGGCAATGTCTCGAGTGGTGATGTACGGTCAAATAATCCCTGCGACCGACACGGTGCAGATAAAGACACTTGTGGGAGGCCACTTCCAGGTCACTTCTGTTACCGACGATAAATGTTCGGTAACAGAACAAATTGAGCGCATGACTCCCTCTTAGGCGCCGTCCATAAATGACGTCACGCACCTGGTGGGGGGGAGGTCTGGGTCAGACATTTGTGACGATGTGTGACGAGGGGGGGGGGGGGGGCTTTGAGAAATGTGACGTCACATCAAAATGCGCAACTTTAAATACGCATTACAATGACAATAGTTTAAAGAGATTTGAAGCATGTTTTATTTTCAAAATGTAAATATGGTTTGGGGGGGGGGGGGGTGCAGAGCTTTGTGACGTCATATTAGAGGTGGTTTTGACTTTTTGTGACGCCGTGTAACGAGATGGTGGGGGGGGGGTCAAAAACCGTTCTAAATCGCGTGACGTCATTTATGGACTGCCCCTTATCTGCAAAAAAAAGAGTGCACTTAATAGGACGTGGCAAGTGTCGTGCGAGAGCGTGGTGTTAGCGAGAGCCTATGAAAGCAAGGCTGGCATAGGGTTGGTGTGGTTAGGGCCACTGTTTTGCAGTGCTGTAGTTGAGAATAAAATAATAAATTAATGAAATAAAATAACACAATTAAATTCTCACGACGTTTCGGCCACAACACAAGTGGCCTTCATCAGGTGAAGGGACGAGACTGTCTGGAGGACTCGTCCCTTCACCTGATGAAGGCCACTTGTGTTGTGGCCGAAACGTCGTGAGAATTTTGCTTCATTTTATTAATTTATTATTTTATTCTCATTCTACGTGACTTTACCGAAAGAACCAAAGAAGCTGAATCCTTGCAGTCACGAAAGCTTTAAATCGAAATTTAGTGCTGTAGTTTATACGCAATTCAGGCAAAGCTCTTCTCGGGCAGTGGTTCTTAAAACTTTACTGTAGCCTTGCATCCCGTTGGCTCTGAAACGTGAAATAAAAACATGTGCGTGCACCCCAAGATAGACCAGAGGTTCTTAGCCTGGGGAAGCCGTCCTGGAGAAGCCCAGAACAGCTTCAAATGCAATATGCCGCTGATATTTGCCCTCGACCAACTGGGAATGCAACTCGCGTGTCGGGGGGGGGGGGGGTCATCAGGCATCGTACACACCACACTCCTCCATATAAAAACGCACGGTCCTTATTAAATTTTACAGTTGTTTATTAAGAATAAACGATAGTGTAGCGTTTACAAAGATCCCTTTATTTAAAAAACACACGCATAGAAAGGCATTGTTAAAAGTATCTCTTTTAAAAAAATTGCACCTGTAATTCAAGCATGTTTAACATTCATTTATCAGTTTAAAACATCGCTAACCTGTATACGGATGCAACGTGTTTTATTTTATTTATAAATGCAGGCAATAATTTTGAGACTCATGAAAATTTTCTTGAATCAGAAGCGAAGCTTGGTAAATTCCGACGGTGGTTCATCCCAAAAGCTGGATTGGCGCACAAATCGTAAAGGAAGAAATAAGCAGCCCAAAACAGACAGACAGGTGACCGCCTGGGACGACGAGAAGCGAGAGAAGCCAGAGTGGGGCCTGGGGAGAAAGCGTGAGTCTTGCCAGGGAGAAAAGGAGGAAACAGAGTTAGTGGTGGTGGAGGAGGAGGCAATGGGAGTCGATGAGCTGGTAAGAGAGCCTTGAATAAGGAGGGAACAGAGTTAGTGGTGGTGGAGGAGGAGGCAATGGGAGTCGATGAGCTGGTAAGAGAGCCTTGAATAAAAAAATAAAACATGATAGGAGGTAGATAAACTGAAACTATAGAAACTAAACAGTTTTTTTTTTAGTTCCAGCAGGAAATGCCCACTGAGCTGTGTAGTTCTTGTTCAGAAGCAACTTCGCCACAAATGATAGCTTGACGAAGTTGCTCATCATGTTGAAATGTATAGCAGCGAAATACCCTGAGCGCGTGTCGATTCTTAATGTGGAGGGGGAAAAAAAATCGGTCCCGGAGAAAAATCCACATAACCACGGGGAGAACATGCAAACTCTAAATATACAGCAGGCGGCACAGTCAGCATCGAACGAAACGACCTTTTGCATATCAGGCGAGGGCGTTAACATCTCACCACCGCGGAACTCCTCGTGTTGAGGACACCAGATTAAGTCAAATAACTTGCGTAGGGATCGGGAGTACTCTGCAAGCTGGTGTAAAAACCAGGCCAGAGAGCGGTTATAGAGCAGTGACTATGTCAGCTTGGAGCAGCTACTGGAGGCCATTTGAGCAGCCGCTCATGTGGTTGCTTTGAGTACCGCTAAGTGTCGAGGTACTTCTTGAGGCTGTTAGGATGACGACTGGAGAGGCTTGCTAGTAGAGTGACCACAGCTTTACTTGCGTTGCTGCTGCACCACAAATGTTGTGGATTTACTCTCCAATACACTGGTGTGCTGAAGTCGTAACCAATTGGCACGTTTTGTTTACGTGACAAACCTTACTAATTAGCCGTGTCGGGTGGTGGCGGCGGTTTTAACGACCCATTTATATTTACGGCGATCCAACCCAAAAAAAACCCTTTCCTGTGGCTCAATTGTCGTTTATGTAAAGGTTGTCAAGTTTGTTTTTGTCACGTTCCAATCTCAAGTCTTAATGTCGGCAATCGGCGCAAGTGCATGCGTGCGTGCGTGCACGTGGCGAGCCTTCTGCGAACTCTGGCAGCGAAGAGACTGGGCAGCACTCGGGGTACCCAGTCTCTTCTCTGGCCACCAACGGTAGCCCCCCGCCCGGACAGCACGACTGAGAAGACGGGTTTCATCGGCTCTCGCTGGCGGGAATTACCACAAGGTGTTGTGGCACCACCAATACCTATAGCCGCAATTCGCCGCCAAGTGACGGTGACGTCACCACGCCGCCTGTGCCAGGCCACGTGCGCTTTGAGGCCACGTGAAGTGCCGAAGGCTCGCTGCCGACAGGAGGTCACGGGACAGACCCAGCAGGTGCCATGGGTTGGCCGACTGAGATGACCGTCAGATGCACCACCTGTGGCCCCTACCGTGCCAACTGGGCACCACACCCTACTTGGCACACATTCGCTTGTGTCTCGCCATTGTCTGCGGGAGGGAGTGAAGGTATAGGGGGATGGTGGGGGGGGGGTTAGTCTGACACAAAAGTGGAAAGTGGTTAGGAGAGGATCTTGTGCAGGGTTCACACCCACACATGATATTTAAAAAAAATAAAAGACCTTCACACGGTCTCTGATAGTGATGAGCACCAACGATTGCTAATTTGAGGACCGAAATGCCTGAATGTGACTTTGACTTAAATGGGCAATTCTATTATATATCCTTGCGCATGCAAACTATATGTTCAGGAGCTAGATGCCAGTGTTGAGGTCTACTGGTCACGAGGCGGCTTCAAGGAGATAGTTCGTGTACTTTTGCTGTTCCTCCTGCGTCGAAGGAGCGCGCAGGTTACACTTGTTCACTGTGTGGTCAATAGTTTGGGTTGCGTGGCCATAATTGCACTGCTGTGGCTTGTGTCTTTAATTTTTACATTTATGGAGATGTGCACAACGGCCTGCTGGTGATGTTCAGATGCGGTTGATGGTGCACCAATGGGAAATTGTGTACCACTATATTTGTCTTTTGTTAGAGGAGGCAGGCAGACCAGATTATTATTACACCAGTGGGTAGCTACTCATAGTGGCGATGCCACACAGGTTGTTGTCATCACGAGCCATGCGCACGTATCCCTGCTCTCCCCAGGTGACTCCCCAGCTGTACACAGAGACACACACAGAACACAGATATTGAGTCATACAGATGGTGCAGACAAGTGATGTTGGGTAGGTATGACACACACTGTGATGGTATGGGCATAACAAGGTCCAGCCACCTTTTCATCCCCAGTGCTGATGTTTGCACACCTGACCAGGTACTCATTTAAGGATAAATCGGCCAAGGAAAAGCCAAAGAACTAGTTCAGATATTCGCTAATGATGTTAGCCATAACCAGGAATCGAACTCGGGTTGCCACGTCCTTAGTGCAGTGCGCTAACTACTGCGCTACCGCTCTACACACACACACACACGATACTCTTACACATCTATAGGGCAACATATATAATCACAGAGCCTATAGACGGCTCAAGATTAATAATTCAGCAAGCATCTATTAAGGCCACTTCAGTGCATGTGTTTAGTGTAGGCGTGGCCAGCACCACACATGCCCAGCCACCTAAGCAGGGTTGTGCCTGGTTAGTATTTTGATAGGTCAGATTTTGTAGACTTCAGCCCCACGATGGCCAGGAGATGTTGGTCTTGAGTGATACCTCCTTCCACGTGTGGGTTTTATCCGGGTTCTCTGGTTCTCCCACATGAAGCCAAACGCTCATGAATGGTAATGGCCGAACATTTCGTTGTAGAACCCTGCTAAAATAGTTTTGAGACTCGGTCAGGCTATCCCTGGGTAAATAATTGTCATTGTTACGAAGACGAACGCCAAATTACCACACCTCCGATTAGCACGATTGGCCACGTACGGCGCGAATGAAATTCAACATGCATACAGATGTGTTTACAAACCAATTGTGAATGCCATATATACTTGAACCTGCCATAGGAATGTGGAATGTACACCACTGGCTCTTGAGCCATCAAACGAGATGAGCAGCGTCACAAGCCCATTTGTGTTTTTTTTCATCTCTAATATATTCGGTGGCACAGTGGTTAGCACTGTGGACTATAAACCAAGCGACTCGTGTTGAAGGGGGGAGGAAATTGGGCTCACTGCCCCCACCCATGTGGGGGGCCTCTAGAAGGGAAGTGAAAATGTATACAGGGCCTCCTCCTACTATGAACATTCGAATTTTCAGAAATACGAACAAACCTGTCCGTATGTCCAGTTGCCTGTTCGGATCAACAGTCGCAAGTTCAACCACCACGCAACAGATGGTGGTGGTGGTATCTACATCTGCAGAACGTGAAGAACCAGTGGTATCTACATCTACAGGAGATTAAACAACGTTTAAAGCCATTTCCCGTGTTTAGCGTACACGCCGTACAAACACGTTGGGAATCGACAGGAGAAAAAGTTGGACTTGCGAACAAATCAACTTACGAACAGACCTCAGGAACCTAACTCGTTCGTATGCAGAGGAGTCCCTGTATGGGGGGAGTAAATAATGTTTATTACATGAGATAGTGTGGTTGTTGTCCGGTTGGAATGATCATCTCGTAACAACGCACCTGTTCTTGACGAGCCAGAATTTCTGCCCCATCTCGTCCACACCGTAGCCCACGACCAGCACGGCGTGGTCAATGTGGTGGCTGCACATTGCGTCCTTGTAGATGCCTGCAGGTTACAGGGGGAAACACCACTCCTCATTCATAATGGCGGCACTAATGCGATGTATTGGCAATTCACCACCTCTCAGACAAAGCAATGGAATTGCTGAAACACTTGTACGTACGCTGAACTTCCTTCGCACCGTACGTAGTTAACCATGCTAAAAATCGGAGGTGCGGGGGAAGGATAATAAACAAAAACACGTAAAAACTTCCAAATGGATCCCTCAAGTTTGCTCTATACGAGCCGTAAGTAGAAGACAATAGCAGAATAACCGTCAGTACATTTCCACATATCACATTTCCACTTGGACTATTCGCGGTTCAACATAGGATGTTTTTCCAACATGTTTTCGTCGAATTCTCCCCCATTGTATGTACAGCCCTTTTCCAATCCACTGCTGGAGGAAGGCCTCCCCCCGCCCCCACCCCCCCCCCGACTCTACGCGCTGGTCAACACTAGTCAGCACAGGTTGGTGAAGGGGATCCCCAAAACTGGTTGAGATTTTCACTGCACACTAAATGAGTTTCCTCAGGGTATGATGGGGAGGAGGTGGCCGGTTTCCCTGAGGAGATATACATTCAGTAAGGCATTTGAAAAAAAAAATACATCTTAAAAGCAGAACCCTTGAGACTAAGTGAGACTTGCTGCTCGAGCAGAAAAACAAACTAATAAACAAAGAAATTAAGGGGCCCCTTGACCAACATCACAGGTTTCATAATCTCTGTGCTGCCTGACCTCTTTAAACCTCCAAGCCTATTAACCATCCATACCAAGGCCCCTCTACCCGACTTAACCTACCAACCTCTTCCACTAAAACATCCCAAACTCCTAACCTACCTTTCAGGAATTCCTTTCGGATTCACAGGCCTCCTCCCTAGGCCGTCACATTCACAGCAGTGCCGTTTACTTACCCCAGGAAAAAACTCTGACTTGCCCCCCAACTTGGGGGCAACAACTAAGCCTGGCTCGGCACACGTTGAGGCACGGCTCAGGTCCTCACGTAAAACTTTGGCCCACTGAAAGCCCGACCTGAGAAACGTGAGAAGCGACACGCGGTGCCTCAACTAAGCGCCCACCTGAGCCGTAGGACTGGAACGACGCGAGGCTGGCGTCGATGGCGACCGACACCGGGCCCACGGAGGCCACGGCGTTCATGAGTGCCTCCTCGTCCCCTTCGGGAATTTCCACGTAGCCGGTGACCTCCGCGGCCTTGTTCTTGGGGTCGTATTTGCACGTTTCGACCTGTGCGACGCATACACCGCGTATTACAAACACCGTCAGCGTTGCCATTGTAAGCCTTGAGGTGTTTAGTACAGAGTCTTTAGACGGCAAACTGACAAGACCGGTCTCTGATGGGGTCTCGAGACAATAGAATAAAAGACGCCCCATCTGTATGGGGGATTGCACTCCAACAACAAAAAAATCCTCGTCACAAAATTTTTCATTTTAAATAAAAACAAGTAAAATAACTGTTGAAAAGTTTTGCGAACTTTAACAAATTAATGTTGTTGTTTTTTTTCCTTTTATAGGGATTCTGTTTTCTAAAATAAATTTAATAGAATCAGTTATATATATCGCTCCCCGAGGGGCGTAATGAGATATCGCCCCACTGAGGGGCAGGGTCTCAGAGGCGCGGCCTCTCATTGGCCGATCCAAACCCCCCTCCCAGAACGCGGCCATGGGCAGAGGGGATTGACTCGCGCGCCACAGCCAATCACGAGCCGCCATTCCAAGGCACGTGCAGAAACTGCCTTTATGCTTTATTGTTGATTAAATTAGTCAGTTTATTACTCAGGTATGAATGCATGAATTGGCAATTCATGGTTTAATTGCTAATTTATTTAATTGCTAACTTTAAAGTTAATTGTTGATTTTTGTAGTGAATGAGTAATTACTGTGGATTGCCATATTAATTGTTTAATTGTGACTTAAAACTTTCGTGACAGCAGGAATTAATATTCTTTGGTTCTTTCGGCCAAGTCACGTAGATAGAAAATTATAAAAAAAATTAAAGTGAATACAAATAATACAAATAAAAAACAACAACAAAACACTAATGTAGACTGTAGCCTGGTTCTTAACCTCGGTGAGTGTACTGGTACGCTCACTGAGATTAAGAACCAGGCTACAGTCTTTATTAGTGTGTTTTGTTGTTTTTGTTATTCTATTATTTTTATTCCCTTTATTTTTTTTATCTACGTGACTTTACCGAAAGAACCAAAAAACATGAGTTGTTTAATTGGTTTGCCAGTCGAGAAGTATGTGCACCAGAGAGATGTAGGAATTTAAATCAGCTACGGCACAGGTGTTAGGTGGATTGTTGGTCTGATGGCTGATGACATTGAAGTGCTGACTAGCATGTGATGGTGCTTGCGAGGGTAACGGTTACTGGGGACATCTGTGAAAAAAAAAGAGCTTCAAAGCTCATGGGATTCCTCCAGTCGAAATAAATATCCTGATGATATTCCGACTGACTGATCAGCCTCCGATGAGGTTCCCTAAACAATCGACCTCCGATTGGCACGGTTGGCTACGTACGGTGCGAAAATAGTTCAACATACATCGAGACCAGATGAGTGATGGGGTTTCTAGACAATAGGCCCAAACTCCCTCACCTGTCCCTTGTACGGGTACGACTCCTCCGAGTCGATGCCCCCGTTCTTCTTGATGTAGTTGAACGCGTTGATCATGAGTCCTCCATTGCAGCCGTGATTGCCCTCGGTCGAGGAGCAGTCCACCAGGTTCTGCTCGCTCAGCGACACGAGCACTCCAGTCTTGCGCTTGTGCTGCCCCTCGAGGGAGCCCGTGGTGCTGAACGACCAGCAAGAGCCGCAGTCGCCCTGTGGAGCGGAGGCGGATAAAAGGCAAAGATTTCTTACATCGACTGTTGGGGACAAGTGCTGTTTGCGAAACTGGAGAGCAACCCCCCCCCCCCCCCCCCCCATTGGTTCGCAGAGTGGAGCTTTATAAAACTCCAGGGGTCGTAGGAATACGACCCTGACGCAATTCTGGGGGTAGGATGTTAACTGTGTAATGTTTCACTGGAATAAATAATGACCGTAAAGACACTGGTCCTGACGATGACCTCCTGATCGTCACCTTGACCGGGCGGTACCTGGTTCTTGATGTCAGTGACGTAGCCCTGCTTCCTCCAGTCGACGGACTCGGGGGCCTCAAAGAAGGCGGGCGCCATGAACGTGGCGCCGCGGGGGGCCTTGCTGGTGCCGTTCCAGCCCCTGAAGCCCAGCATCACCTGCTGGAACTCCTCCCCGGTCTGAACGAGACACACGCGTTCACAGCGAGCGGACATAGGTTACCACGACGGTAGTTAAGCTGGGTTAGAGTGTCGTCAGCTTCATGGTTTCAACGTGACTACAGCTCTTTGTCAGTCCACTAATGGGGCAAGGCCTCTCCATGCCATGTGGGTCCTGACGGTTGTTTGACCATACTTCACCACGCTGGTCAGTAAAAGATGAAGGTGATGGGTTGGCGGGGGCGGATACCACTCGCCACTGATGTTAGCTGTGGACAGTGTGCTAACAACATCACCACCACTCTCCACATAGTCTCAACTTAGTCACCTATAAAGCTCATTAACCTAGTCCCATAACTTTCGACTCAAGAGAGCATTCATAAATGCTCTTCTTTGTTGTTGGTGTTAGCGGTAGTGCAGTGGTTAGCGCGCTGCGCTATGAACCTGGCGACTCAGGTTCGATTCCCGCTCACGGCCAACACCAGTGACGCTTATCTGAACCGGTCCCGGGCCTCCCCTAGGTCGACTCAGCCTCAAATGAGTACCTGGTTTGGTGTGTAAATATTGCCACTAGGGACACAAAGGCGGTCGGGCGTGGTGCTGGCCACCCACCCCCTCGTGTACCGTTCTGGCCTTCATAGGTGCTCGCTAACAGCACTTGCCCCTACAGTCTGTTAAGGCTATATGGGGGATCTTTGTCTTTGTAGCGGGTAGCACGCTGAGCTACAAACCCGGCAACCCGGGTTCGATTCCTGCTCACGGCCAACATCAGTGACGATTATCTGAACTGGTCCTGGGCCTCCCCTAGGTCGAATGAGTACCTGGAGCAGAGTGTAAACATCGCCACTGGGAAGACAAAGGTGGTCAGGCGTGGTGCTGGCAACCCACCTCCTCGTGTACCGTTCCGGCCTTCATAGGTGCTCGCTAACAGCACTTGCCCCAACAGTCTATTAAGCCTATATGGGGATATTTGTCTTTCTCTATAGGGCAATCAATGTCAACGTCCGACAAAGTGGCCATCATTTGAACCCACGACTTTCCGATTGCGAGTCAAGCGCTACAATCGCAGCACAACCTAGCTCAGATCAGGGTTAGGGTCAGGGTCAGAGTTTCAGTATACAGTAGGCCAGTGCTCATAGAGTGAGGGGAAAAAAGTATTTGATCCCCTGATGATTTTGTACATTTGCCCACTGACAAAGAAATGATCAGTCTATAATTTTAATGGTAGGTTTACTTGAACAGTGAGAGACAGAATAACAACAAAAAAAATCCAGAAAAACGCATGTTAAAAATGTTATAAATTTTTATTTAAAGCTTTCGTGACTGCAGTAATTCATATTCTTAGCTCTTTCGGTAAAGTGACAATACAAATTCTCATGACGTTAAGACCATAACACAAACGGTCATCATTTTAATGAGGAAAAAAAAAAGTATTTGACCCCTCTGCAAAACATGACTTAGTACTTGGTGGCAAAACCCTTGTTGGCAATCACAGAGGTCAGACGTTGCTTGTAGTTGTCCACCAGGTTTGCACACATCTCAGGAGAGATTTTGTCCCACTCCTCTTTGCAGATTTTTTCCAAGTCATTAAGGTTTTGAGGCTGATGTTTGGCAACTCGAACCTTCAGCTCCCTCCACAGATTTTCTATGGGATTAAGGTCTGGAGACTGGATAGGCCACTCCAGGACCGTAATGTGCTTCTTCTTGAGCCACTCCTTTGTTGCCTTGGCCGTGTGTTTTGGGGTCATTATCATGCTGGAATACCCATCCACGACCCGTTTTCAATGCCCTGGCTGAGGGAAGGAGGTTCTCACCCAAGATTTGACGGTACATGGCCCCGTCCATCGTCCCTTTGATGCGGTGAAGTTGTCCTGTCCCCTTAGCAGAAAAACACCCCCGAAGCATAATGTTTCCACCTCCATGTTTGACGGTGGGGATGGTGTTCTTGGGGTCATAGGCAGCATTCCTCCTCCTCCAAACACGGCAAGTTGAGTTGATGCCAAAGAGCTCCATTTTGGTCTCATCTGACCACAACACTTTCACCCAGTTGTCCTCTGAATCATTCAGATGTTCATTGGCAAACTTCAGACGGGCATGTATATGTGCTTTCTTGAGCAGGGGGACCTTGCGGGCGCTGCAAGATTTCAGTCCTTCACGGCGTAGTGCGTTACCAATTGTTTTCTTGGTGACTATGGTCCCAGCTGCCTTGAGATCATTGACAAGATCCTCCCGTGTAGTTCTGGGCTGATTCCTCACCGTTCTCATGATCATTGCAACTCCACGAGGTAAGATCTTGCATGGAGCACCAGGCCGAGGGAGATTGACAGTTCTTTTGTGTTTCTTCCATTTGCGAATAATCGCACCAACTGTTGTCAGCTTCTCACCAAGCTGCTTGGCAATGGTCTTGTAGCCCATTCCAGCCTTGTGTAGGTCTATAATCTTGTCCCTGACATCCTTGGAGAGCTCTTTGGTCTTGGCCATGGTGGAGAGTGTGGAATCTGATTGATTGATTGCTTCTGTGGACAGGTGTCTTTTATACAGGTAACAAGCTGAGATTAGGAGCACTCCCTTTAAGAGTGTGCTCCTAATCTCAGCTTGTTACCTGTATAAAAGACACCTGGGAGCCAGAAATCTTTCTGATTGAGAGGGGGTCAAATACTTCTTTCCCTCATTAAAATGCAAACCAATTTATAACATCTTTTTTACATGCGTTTTTCTGGATTTTGTTTTTGTTATTCTGTCTCTCACTGTTCAAATAAACCTACCATTAAAATTATAGACTGATCATTTCTTTGTCAGTGGGCAAACGTACAAAATCAGCAGGGGATCAAATACTTTTTTCCCTCACTGTATCTCCAATTGTTGCCCCGAGCCAGCTGTGGAAGTTACACATTCTCAAAGCAAGGCCAGATATGTCAGTCGATTCCTCAACTAAACCGCCTAGATATGTCACACAACAGAGTGTCACACTGTGAAAAGTCAAAAGTGAATGTCAAAAGGACATGAGAAGAACACGGCTCCATTGCTATGATATCATCAACAACCACGTTGACTATTTGTGTCTCGCCAACATGATTGATAGGTATTTTTTTTACTCATCCATTTAATAAATAATGTTTAACAAATATTAGTGGCGTAACGAATCGTTTATTTCATGACTAATTTGGCTTTTCCACTCAATGAATTTATCATAGTGTGTGAGCGAGTCAACAATTGTCGTAAGATTCAATTATTTAGCAGGACTACAAATTAAATGCAAATCGTATGCTATTAGAGCTTTAGGCTATTGAAACAAGACTAAACAAATGTGACAGATGGTACAAGCAAGATAAAACACGCTTGAATCCTTAAATGCCATTGTCATCTTGACTCATAACCGAAATATATTTTTTTATACTCAAGCACGTACACCAAAGTCTTAAGGCTAATGGTTACTCCGACTACAAAATCCGCAAAGCTATCACTCCAACCATGAAGAAGGACCCTCTTGAGGAGTCTTTCAAAACCATCACTTTACCCTACATTGCGGGGATCACAAAAAAGATCTCCAAAATCTTGAATGAACACAAGATCCAGGTCCGATTCAACACATTACATAAAATCCGTGGTCTGGTTCCGTCTGTAAAAGATGTGATTCCGGACATACAGTACCCTGGCGTCTACAAACTAAGTTGCCTCTGTGGTAGTAGTTACATTGGATAAAACAAACGCCATGTCTCGGACCGCATCCGTGAACACAAATCGGACCTAAAACACGGTAGGACCAACACCTCGGCCGTGGCAGATCACTGTTATAATTCAGTAGGCTCACATGACATTGACTTCTCCAAGACAGAGGTTGTTTGCAAGCAATCTGGCTACCATGAGAGATTCATTCATGAGGCTATCCACATATACAAACACAGAGACAATATTAACCGAGAAGATGGATTCTGGCTTAGCAATTATTGGAAGGATTTGATAAACCATTTCGGGTCTTAATTTATTGTTCACGCTTACAGTGGCTTTCAGACCGCATCCATTATTTTCCTCTCCCCCTTCCTCTTTTCTGAACATAGATGGACTCATCCATCTGAACGAACTGTCAAATTGCTTTCCGTGGTGCTAACGTTAAAAATAGCCGCCACTTTTTCAAATTTTCTTGCTGTGGTTTTCACACCTGATGACGATTGCTTGTGTTGCAGTCGAAACGTCGTGATAATTTTCTTGTTTTATATTTTTATTATTTTATCGTTTCCCTCATACGTGACTTTACCGAAATAACCAAGAATACTGTATATTTTGATGAAAATCTTAATTATTTGTCTTTTTCCCCACAATTTGTTTCCACACAATCGGCATCGTGTCACGAAACAGAATCTATTTGGACCATCTTACAGAGAAGGGTCCCGCAAATTGCACAGCGATCATCGGCCCCTTACTGGCAGCCGAATTGCCCCAAAGTCACTCGTGCCAATGAGACTCATCTTGGTCTCTTGAGTACACACCTTGGTCTACAAGTTCAACTTGCCGCCTGTATTTTATCCGACGTCTTTATGAACTGTAGCTCTCAGGAGCGGAGCTGGGCTTGGTAAGATTCAGTGAAAAAACTAAATTCTTACGTCTTTTTGTTGGCTGGGCTGAGACACAATGACTCACTGCACTTGGGAATCTGATTTTAATACATAAGACTGCCAGGAATTGAACACAGAATATCTGTGGTGGCAGCCGAGTGGTCTGCCAATGGCCAAAATGTGTTTCCCTTGCCCATGATTTTCAACAGAGTGTAGAAAATCAGACGTCTGACTCACCATCTGCTCAAGGTGATGAAATCTGCATGAGCCAAATCTGTTGTCCCGTACATTTAAACTGCTCATGGAAATGAAGAAGGCATAGGGAAGGAGGAAACGTCTGGTTCACCATCTCCCCACAGCACTTTGGCACAATCTGTATGACCTTGTACGAGCCACATCCGATGTCCTATGTGGTAGTTTTTAATCTCGTGGGAGCGAAGCGTAGCGGAGGTATGTGATGTCCTGGCTCACCATGTCGCTGAACTGGTTCATGCCCATGCGCCAGGTGTGCTTGCCCATGGAGTGCTCCAGGTTGTGAACGGAGATCCTCTTGAGGTTCTTCTCCCAAATAATCCTCCTCCAGCCCTCCTCCTCCTGCAGCACAGCAGGCAGAGCGACGCGTCAAGGGATGCAATGCAATAGCAACCAGCACCGTGTTCAGGTATTAAATGGCCTCGGAGTTCGGGATTGGAGAACGAATGAATATTGGAGACATCACACCGACCGTGCAGGAAAGTAAGCGGGTTTGCGCACCTCCGATAAGCGTGGTTGACCACGTACGGTGCAAAAGAAGTTCAGCATATATGACACATCGCTAGTTGGGACGATGACTTATGGAAAAGACTGATGACGAAATGAGAGGGTGAACAACGTGGAGATGAAGCGATGACATTGGTTTACGTGCAGGAGCCAGAGGGGTTGTGGCATCGCAGGGCCACAAAAAATGGCGACGGCATCGGGAGGCCCTCGGCCAGAAATGGGTCGATCATGGCTGATTGTTAATATGATGAAAAATCGGACAGCACTGTGGTTATACCACTGGACTCGCATTACAAAATTTTAAGCGTTCAAACCTGGGTTGGGGTGGTTGGCTCAGCCCATCATCTCTCAAGAGTCCATTAAATTGACACCGCTTCGTGACAATTTAACGGTGGACAAACTGTGGCGAGATTGAACACCAACAACGGAATGCGCAATTTCCCTCCGCTGCCTCAGGGCCAGGAGTGGAGGAGGCACCACCCCAAGCAGCAAGGGGGCTTGCTGTGGCTTCGGAATTAACAGGGCCCCACGCACAGCTGCAGTGCCTGCGAGAGTTGCCACCTCTTGAGGCACAAACAGCCCGGACAACACACGAGTAGAAGTGGTGCATTCTTATTATTGTTAAGCGACTGACAAAAGCTGGGACTTTATATCCCGGGAAGGCGCATGGATTTCCCAGGATGGCTATCTCAACAAGATTATCCTAGGAAAACCAAGACACAGGTGGCAACTCCCAGCACATGCTAAAACCCGTCATCTACACCAACCTGTTTAAGGACACAACGCTAAGAGGAAATAGTACCTTCACGAACACTGTACTCACTTGGTCTGTGTGTTCATTTGTCTACTTGAACTGTTATGTAAAGTTCACTCTAAATCAATAATTGTACAAGCTGCCACCGCAACGAAACTGGTTTGGCTGGAATGTGTTCCACCAGGGAAGACTTCCTTGCGATTAATAATCTCGACATCATCGTGCTTTGTATGTTTATGTTGAAGTACAGCAAGCGATACGCTTCATCACCACACCCAAAAAGGTCCTTGGAGTTCCATTAAAAAAAGGTACAAACCGTTTATGTAATCTGTGTGCCTACATTGTAAAATCCGGTATATATTTTTTTGTAACATATATTGATTTTGTAATTTCAGAGATGAAGGCTGTCAACCCGTCTGGAAACCAGAAATGGCTTCCTGTGTCGAGATCAAATGCGAATGAGCGTGGTCTCTGTAGACACTTGGTCATTGCTTGTCATACCCATGATGTAATAACAGTGCGGACTCGTGTCTGTGAATCGCTAAATTGAGACAAGCCAAGATCACAGCCATCAACCCATACAGTTTACCCCGTATTCTTGTGCAGGGAATGAGTTTTCAGGTCCATATGGCGTACAGTCGTTTCAATGCAGGCAAAAAAATGGTTTGTCCATTTATTTGTGTTTCTCCCTTGTGATCGGGGGACTTTGTAGGATAAACGTTGAGATTTATAAGGGCACGGGGTGACCAATAAGGTCTGAATTTGGTCTGTAATATGATAGGCAATGATAAGGGGTTGACAGGTATGCAAGAGAGACCCCGCTTATCTACAAGTTTCCCTCGTGAGCCGCACATCACCCCGAGTAGGAGGGGTGATGATGAATTTGGGATTAAGTGTCAACTGTATCTTAGATTTGCCGCAGATGTATGTACGTATGTTTCGTACCGTGCATAGCCAACCATGCTGATCGGAGGTGCTGATCAAACCCGGACATATTTCTCAGTCTATCAAATCTGTGCGGTATCCTGTGCAGTATGTGGAAGTGACATTGCCTCGCAGTAGCGCAGTTTCCGCTTCACAGTTTGGCACAAGTGCACAGTTTGGAACCAGCAGCTGCGCTGATTATTATTGTGGGTGTAATATCGATAATACTACTACATGTCGTCTGCTCCTGAGTGGACACTAAAGATCGCGCTTCATTTGCAAGAGTAGGCCAATGTGTACCGGTGTCAGGGTCCAAGTTTGCCAAGTTATAAAGTTGCACTGCAAATTACTCAATAAAGATCATACAAAGCAATAATCGCCCCCTCCTGGCAGGCTAATGCCTTTAGTCACTCTTGAAAATGCGACTGTTTTTGTCTCTTGAGAACACGAGGTTAAACAAAATAAGCTTGATACTGTAATACCGTTCAATGCAATATCATCAGATCTCAGTAAAAATCTATTCAAATGGCAATTCTCAGACTACAGTCCAGGGTAAAACTCGTAGCAACCCTGCTGTATCTTCCTCGCTCAAACAATGCGCTGGGGCCATGCTCATCTCCGTGGGCATCTCTGAACAAGGAGCCGCACTACAACGCTCTACAACGTGGACATCTCTGAACAAGGAGCCGCTCTACAACGCTCTACAACGTGGACGTCTCTGAACAAGGAGCCGCTCTACAACGCTCTACAACGCTCTACAACGCTCTACAACGCTCTACAACGCTCTACAACGCTCTACAACGCTCTACAACGCTCTACAACGCTCTACAACGCTCTACAACGTGGGGATCTCTGAACAAGGAGCCACTCTACAACGCTCTACATTGTGGACATCTCTGAACAAGGAGCCACTCTACAACGCTCTACAACGTGGACGTCTCTGAACAAGGAGCCGCTCTACAACGCTCTACAACGTGGACGTCTCTGAACAAGGAGCCACTCTACAACGCTCTACAACGTGGACGTCTCTGAACAAGGAGCCGCTCTACAACGCTCTACAACGCTCTACAACGCTCTACAACGCTCTACAACGCTCTACAACGCTCTACAACGCTCTTGCGGTGCGAGCGCATGGCCGCGCCACGCAGGCGGCGCCGTGCGTTGTGGTCACGACCGACCTCGCCGTAGGTCTTGCCGTGGAACTCCTTCCAGGACTCCCACTCGGGCGACAGCTCCGGGTCGAGGAAAGGAGAGGCCACGGCCGCAGAGACCAACGCCACGACCCCCAGCAGAGCGACGAGCAGCAGCTTCATCTTCGTCTTCTTCCCGTCTCAGAGTCAGAACAGGCTGCAAGGCAGGAGACGGCAACAGAGAGAGGTGAAGGACGTCAATGGCAGCGTTCTCGTGGGTCGTGGTGTGGCTGCGTGGCTCTGTATTTAGACCGCTCTACTCGCAGTTGGGATCGTGATGTCGCTCTGTCGATGAGGCTAAGACTGGATAGGGTGCAAAAGTCGCTAAACAACACTTCCTGCTTACATTTATAACATCTTCCGGCCATGTTCTATTCAAATCTTCCAAATTGCTTATACTATCCTATTGCGAAACTATTCTGAAAGGCCAAATGTTTTTTTTGCTGTTGCGGTGTTCACGTTCATCTCTCCGGCCACACTTCGCTTAATTTTCTTCCGAGCAAAACAAATAATGCCCCAGGACAACAATCCTCATGTACAATGGAAACCAAGTTCGTCGATTTGTGCAAGGCACTTTTTATATGATACCAGCTTTCATATGGACCTCAAAGTGTCTCACACAAATGGTGTACGAACAGCCTTTGTCACCACACGAGAAAGATAAACAGTCAAAGCGACGCCTCTAACTCTCCTTTTGTTCCCGACCTATGTGTTTCCTCTTTGCGCAATTGGTGTTTCTCAAATCAACCAATACGAATTCTACGTGCCAATATCGCCCCTCAATAAAGTAGGCATCAGTTCACATTAAGGCAGAACGGGAACGTTACAGAATGCACAGAGCAACCAGAATGACAAAAGAAACCTTCCACGACTAAAAATGGCCTTCCTATGGAATGACCTGTCCCAACCAGTGGAATGTGGAATTTCCTTCACTAGGTTAGGGTAGTCAGCCTCATTCCCATCACGCGTACCCTCGCCTCTCCCCCCGTGCTTCCTTGCGCACTTTTCATATTGTTGCTCTCTGTTGGCGTCCATGTGTCTGGTCCGCATGGCATCGTGGGTGATAATGTGCAACTATTGTAAATGTTAACTCTTCAGACACATTGCTAAGTTGATGGTCATGATCGCATTCAGCTTTTTTATCTCAAAATTACCCCGGTTGTTTCATTCATTAAATCCCAATCCACCTTCAACAAGTGCCCTGGGTTTAGTCCCACTGCATCACACACGTCATTGTTGTGCTGTCAACCAGCATGTGTGTGAAATCACATCACATTCGTCAATCCACTGCTGGATGAAGACCTCCCCACGCTCACCGCGTCTGCCGAGTGGGTTGTTTGACCATACTTCACCACAAATGGTTAGTGCAGAATGAAGGGGGGAGTCAGCATGGCCTAGGGCTGCTACTTTTTGCGCAGACCAAACCCACACGCGTTTCTCAGTCAGCACTCGGTCAACCAACATACCACTGGGAATAAAGTTTAACACAATACCCGTACAGTACGAGATCTCGATACAATAGAATAAAGTTCAACACAGCAATACCTGTACGAGACCTCGGTACAAATCGAATTCCTCCTGCCCACCCAAACACAGATGCCGATTCCCTCCCAGGACCTGTTCAGTTTTCACACGCCGGCGATTCCTGATCTTAGCCGAGGATGGGAAACCAACTGATGCTGCCAGGTTCAAAGTGCAGGGCGCTATCTATCGACTGTGCCACCACCATTCTACTATCCACTTATCAGCGAGATTGCAGCGCCGTTCTGTAATCGTGAATGAGTAAGGCATGGCGGAATGGATAGAGGCTGCAGTTGCTGTGTTTGTCCCTGTGTACCAGAGTACGTCTCTACCCAGTAGTACTTGTGTAGTGACATAAAACCGGTCACGTAGCAGCATAGCGCTGGCTGCTGGCAGCGAAGGGGATCTACAGCTTGCAACAGCCCTGACTGACAGCAGGTCACGTGATAGACCAGAGGGATCTGGGGGAAAGGTTACAGATGGGGCACATCGAGAACCCACTAGTCGGTTCCAGAAGGGGTTTGGCGGGGGGCGGAGGCAGGCCACGCTGACAGTATAAGAGGGGCGCCGAGAGGGGACCACGTGGCTGTCGTTTAGAGTGTGATCCCCGTCGTGCTGCTGCTGGAGTCTTCACCATCTCGGCGTTGCCAGTCAGGCAGTCTACCAGCTGTCCTCACTGGGAAACAGTCACTTAGTGTTAAATGTTAGGCCGTGTTAATAAACAGAGTGCCTCCTACTCTTAGTGTCTTTAAGTCAGTCGCTACACGTGTGTGTCATGTGTCTGTAGTATTGTTATGAATGTTTGTTGTGAATGTGTGTATTATGAATGTGTCTGATGTACTATGTATTGGGTGTTGTTGACAGGTAATGTCTTGAGAGCGGTGGTGTAGCGGTTAGCGCTACGCTGCGCTACGAACCCGGCGACCCGAGTTCGATTCCCGCTCACGGCCAACACCAGTGACGAATATCTGAACCGGTCCTTGGCCTCCCCTAGGTCGACTCAGCCTCAAATGAGTACCTGGTGCGGTGTAAACATCGCCACTAGGGAGACAAAGGCGGTCGGGTGTGGTGCTCGCCACCCAACCCCTCGTGTGCTGTTCCGGCCTTCATAGGTGATAATCGCTAATGGTACTTGCCCAAACAGTTTGTTACAGGCCACACAGGGGAACTTTGTCTTGAGTGAGGCAGCGCTGTGAAATATTACAGAACTTAAGATTACAATGACTGCGCTGGACTGCAATAGTTATAAGTCTCCCTACTCAAGCACCCCACGGTTTTATTTTTTAGTTACAAATGTCCAAAAATATTCTGATCAGCTGGTGGCGGCTGAAAATAAATTATTTTGTACTTTTTAGTGCACTTTAAAATAAAACCGCTGGTTTAAAAAAATGTTTTAAGGAGTTTGTTATAATTTTTAGTCTTTATTTTAACAAAGACATTTTAACAAGGAATATTCTTTGATACTTTTTCAAAATACTTGAAAAAATAGAGTCAGTCTAAGACCAAGTCTACTTCTTTTGTGGACCTTACATTTGAGAGTGCGATCCGAGAGCACTGCCGTTAACTCTATACATTGCCTTGATGTTGTTTGTGTGTATAAAGTATTGTCACACAAATCCAGCTTCTTTAATCTGATTGATGATTTCTCATTATATAAATGTCTGCTAACGCTTCATTATTGCATGGTGTGTTTCCGGTCAGTTTTAAGTTGACCAAATCCTCAATTTGAAGTCCATCCAGCGAGCCGACACGACTTAACACAACATATGCTTGACCTGCTTCGAAGACCTTTGATCCCAAGTACACGACTGCATGATGCACTGTACATCCTTGCATTTTGTGCACTGTCGGTGCCCATGATAGAATTAGTGGCAGCATTCTTCGTTCAGCTGTGCCATAGCCACGATTAGCAGGGAACTGAACTGATTTGGGCTTAATGTCGTGTGTGCCGTCCTTGCCAAAGTCTATTTAAACTAGTTCAGGTATTTGTCTTTCGTGCAATTGTGCACGAGAAGGAATAGGCCACGTGATTTTTCTGATACATCCAATTGCACCATTTACAAGTCCTTTAGATACATCAATGTTGGATCTTAAAAGGACTTTGGCCAACGGTCTTATTCATGTCCTTTGGAATTATTGTGTTCATTTGGATATGTTCAATATATCTTGTGGCATCCACTAATTGATCTTGTGCTGTTGTGTACATAGGGGTCTTAAGAGCTCTGAAGTATTGAATCACTGCTTCATTACGAGCATTCACTTGATTGTTCGTTGGATAGATCCGCAGAGCGTTATCCATGGCAAACTCTCCAATTGGTTCTTGAAGACGTCTGCTTTCCAATACTGGAATGCTCAACCGATTTTCCACCACAACCAACTTAAATGTAAAATTTAAATGTATAAAACATCAATGTAAATGTTAAAAGTTCACTTTAAAATGGGGTTAGTGCAAAAATGACGTCACTGACCCTATCTATTAATTGCCTCATTCGATGCACTACATAATAATAATACGAAACTTTTGTAAAGACACCGAAGCATTTCATGCGACTCTCTACCTCAAAAAAGGAAAAAAAATACAATGTGTGACAATATAATATTTAAAAAATATTTTAAAAATATGTTCCGGGCGAGTTTTGAACTCTCGACTCCTACGTTGGTATAATTTTTTTGTTTTCAAAAAACACCTGTTGGCAAACCACTCGTCTAACAAGGCTTACACACAAATACATATATAAAACCGTTGAAGAAAAAAAACCACATTGCCTTCAAACCAACGCGCCCAGCTGAGATGTAACATGGCCAAATCCCGAGCGGCAATTCGTGTCAGTTGTACAGCTGAATACTAGAGCTGCCGGCATGGCAACCTTCACCCGACCAGCGTGGTGAAGTATGGTCGAACAACCCACACAGCATCTTGAGGCCCTTACCTGCAGCAAAATACATGTAGAAAGTGTGTACGTATAGTACCATACGTGCGAATAGTAATGCGCTTCATTGACTGTAGATACGACATTTAAATCGGACTAAAGTTTGATCCATCAGCACAGTTATCAACTATTCCGCTCCATTCAATAAACGCCGAATGGTTAATTGATAAGAGGCAAGAATGGTCTCTATCAGGACCGTGGGACACAGTGCGACACAGCAACACACATACCGTGTATAGGTGTTGCCCTGATATTCCCTCCCGGCCTCCACTAGGAGTTTTATAGAGAGCCCCCTAACAGATTACTCGGATTATTCTTTCACGCTGGCACCCACCCACACAGCGTGGTAGCACCCACCCACACAGCGTGGTAGCACCCACCCACACAGCGTGGTAGCACCCACCCACACAGCGTGGTAGCACCCACCCACACAGCGTGGTAGCTCCCACACACACAGCGTGGTAGCACCCACACAGCGTGGTAGCACCCACCCACACAGCGTGGTAGCACCCACCCACACAGCGTGGTAGCACCCACACAGCGTGGTAGCACCCACCCACACAACGTGGTAGCACCCACACCCACACAGTGGTAGCACCCACCCACACAGCGTGGTAGCACCCACACACAGCGTGGTAGCACCCACCCACACAGTGGTAGCACCCACCCACACAGTGGTAGCACCCACCCACACAGTGGTAGCACCCACACACAGCGTGGTAGCACCCACCCACACAACGTGGTAGCACCCACACAGCGTGGTAGCACCCACACAGCGTGGTAGCACCCACCCACACAGTGGTAGCACCCACCCACACTGTGGTAGCACCCACACACAGCGTGGTAGCACCCACCCACACAGCGTGGTAGCACCCACACAGCGTGGTAGCACCCACCCACACAGCGTAGTAGCACCCACACAGCGTGGTAGCACCCACCCACACAGCGTGGTAGCTCCCACACAGCGTGGTAGCACCCACCCACACCACAGTGTGAGTGCTACCACCCACACAGCGTGGTAGCACCCACCCACACAGCGTGGTAGCACCCACACCCACACAGTGGTAGCACCCACCCACACAGTGGTAGCACCCACCCACAGTGGTAGCACCCACCCACACACAGCGTGGTAGCACCCACCCACACCACTGTGCGAGTGCTCCCACCCACACTAACCGCGGTGTATTATGCCGAGCTTCTTTTACACCGCAATTAGCCAACCGCGCAATCATGTTTATTATACACTGCTGGGTGGACAGACTTCACCTGCCCATTGTTTCCACTGCCGCGAACCCTCGGACCTCTGCTGGATCGTCCAGGTCCAGCAAAACGTTGCAATCAAGGCAACATCGAGCGCAGAGAGAGCGATTGTAAAAAAAGAGGGGTAAGGAGAGCAGAGCGTGAAATCTTTCATTTAAAAGGGGGGGGGGGGGGGGTGCACATAAAGCAAAGCATTGAAAAAAAAACCGAAATGATGAACGAAGCAAAGTGCCGACTACACCGAGCATCTTCTTGTTTCCTCTGATCGTAAAAAAAGAGAGAGCGAGGAGGGTTGTTCATTGAGAGAGAGAGAGAGAGGTCACGGGTGGGCCCTGGTGGCACTTTTGTGTGGGCCCCCACACAATCCACACAGAGTGAAGTCGCCCTCCATCATCATCATCAGCACCATCGTGCTGCTGTCAAACCCAGCAATGGTTTCGAACGCGTGTGTGGGTGCTCCCACGCTGACGATGTCTCATCGGCGAACGTGACCCACCACCTCCCCCCCCCACCTCCACCTCAACCTCTGACAATTTCGCGAAGACCGCCGGAGCAAGAGGATCGCCCTTGCCGGAGAGAGGCCGACACCAGCCTGGGGTGGGGGGGGGGTGACGCCGCCGCCGCCGCCGTCGTCAGCTTGACGACCTCGGCACCACACAGCTCCACCGTAGGCCGGGGATCGAACTCGGACCACGCGCGACTCGGCTGGGCACGTGCGGTCACCCGAGGCCCTCTTTAGTCGACCTGGCGCCGTCTCTCTCTCTCTGTCTCTCACCTCACCACCCCCCCCCCCCACTGCAACTTTACCTGCGGCGATGCGGCGGTGGTGGTGGCGACCAGCTGATAGTGAAGGAGGTAGCGGCTTCCTCCTTTATAGAGGCGTGGGACGCCGACGAAGCTCCCCGCCCCGACGCCTCATTGGTCGCCTACCCAGGCCGCCACTTCTCACCACCACCACCACCCACCCCACACACACCGCAAGATCTTGACGAGGACAAGGAGACAAAGATCGCCCGTGTAGACCCTCAACAGACTGTTGGGGCAAGTGCTGTTAGAGTAGTTTGGTGGGTGGCCAGCACTACGCCCGGCCGCCTTTGTACATTCACAGGGCCCACACACACACGCACACAGACAGATCCGGCATTTAAAGTGACACTTTCACCCCCACGCATTCCTTCTGCTGTACACACACGTGTGCTGTCACGATACACATGTTGTACTGATATGGTACATTTGGAACATGTGATTATTCGGAATACTTATGTAATGTGTTAGAGTGTAGTTTATATGTACAGTAGATCTAGTACTGTTCTTTTAACGACAACGCAAAGATCCGTAATCTTTATCTTGTATGTATCCTGGAGAAATCCGATGAGCTATGAAGTTCTTTTTTTTAATTTACACGCTTTTATTTAACTCTGTCTGTTGTGGTTGTTGTACCCTCAAATTTTGTAACTCAATTTTAACCCACTTCCAAATGTGGTATCGACTAAAAACTTGGTATACTTATGTCATACTGATGACAATACCATATTCTATCATTAAAATATAGATATTTTTAAACAATCTTTTTTATATTCTTTGGTTCTTTCGGTAAAGTCACGTAGAATGAGAATAAAATAATAAAATTGTGAGAATTTTATTTTATCAATTTATTATTTTATTCTCATTCTACGTGACTTTACCGAAAGAACCAAAGAAGATGAATCCTTGCAGTCACGAAAGCTTTAAATCGAAATCTTTTTTATATGTTATGTTTCGGCTTGGGTCTATTTATCCACGGTCCCCTTACGTTATGGCAAGCTTCGGGGCCACTTCCTGGAGTCGTGGAGTTCTGCCATTACACTCGTACGGTACATTTCATTAAAGCGTGTTTTAAAAAAAAAGTTGATGTAAATATTATTTATTTACAGATACAACAAAGAACCGTGGTTACACGTCCTTGATTGACCGATGCTCACGCGCATTATACTCTGAGTGATCTCCATCGGTGATTTAAAGAACAGCGAAAACAATCAGGAATAATTATCGTAGTCCGTGGGCCAGAGTAGAATTAGGTAGCACAAAGGATGGCAAAATCTGGATAATAAAAGTTTATTATGTGATTTATATTAAACATAAAAAAAGTATTTTTCTCATTAAATGTCTTTGTAGTTTTATAGCTCTTGGTCGAACTCAAGTTTTTGCCATGTCAGGATATACCGACAATTTATCTATTTGGTCTATGACCCATGCACTAAAATGAGTCAGACGAAAAGGAAGAAGTATAGGAGGAAAGTAGTCTGGTGATGGTAATTAATTTGCTCTAAAAGCACAGCGAATAAAAAACGTGGACGTTTTGAGGTGTTCGTATTTGTGTCGTTACTTCCGTTGTAGAACCCTTTCTGTGCGGTGCAACACAAAGTTTCCGTGATGTAATAATGGTCAGCACCGGTGGACTTTCTGGTTTCTGTCTCGCCGCGCGGCAGTTAAATATCCCCAACTTCCGTCCAGCAGATGTTGTGTGGTGGGCAGAAAAGTGCGGGTACTCCAAACCTCTTCCAAGACGTCTGGCCAGCGTGAACGAGTAGGCCAAAATACCCTCTCTAGAACGCCCTCCAGTGGAAGCCCTTCCGCCAACAGCGGCGTGAGCAAGATATTGAAGGGCTGCGCCTTTAACTTGTACAACAAATGAGGCAGTGGCCGGGCTATCAGTGACCTCATCCCAGCAGTAGATCGTGCACTTGTACTGTAAGAAGAAGTGGTGGTGGCTATTGGTCAAAGTCAAACTGTAAACTACAAAATGAGAGTGGCACTCATCTCTTTGTCGCTGAGCCTACACTAAAGGTATTCTTGCGTAGGTCTTTTTTCATGGATTTGTGCATTGTACAGCCTTTTGTCAATCCACTGCTGGATGAACACGCCATGTGGACAGACTGTTCCCACCGTTGCAATGTGGGGTTTACAACACAAGTTCAGGGCTGGCCTAGGGGGGTAGGGGGTGAAATGAGGGCCACCCTGTTGGTTACGTGACTTTGTGCAGTCACCACGTGATAAAACAAACTACGAACTAAATTTTGATTTAAAGCTTTCGTGACTGCAGAGATTCATATTCTTGGTTCTTTCGGTAAAGTCACCACGTAGAAGGGAAACAATAAAAATATAAAACAATAAAATTCTCACGACGTTTCGACTGCAACACAAGCAATCTACGTGACTTTACCGAAAGAACCAAAAATATAAACTACGAACTGTAAACTATTGTTTATATAGCAGACAGGGCCCGCTGAGCTATACAGTTGTTTTTCAGAAGCGAACTGGTCATAAATGACAGCTCAACGAAGCGCCTTATCATGTGTAAATGTATAGCGGCCAAATATTATAAACGCGTGTTTCTATATGTTGGAGAGACATACCGGAGAACTTGGAGAAAAATCCACGCGACACACGGGGAGAGAGACACGCAAACTCCAAATATGCAACAGACTTCAGGGTTGTGATTAAACCCACGACCTCCTGTATACCCCGCGAGGTAGTTAACATTTCGCCACTGCGTCGCAACGATGAACGTGGCCCCTGTAAAAGCAATGTGGAATATACCATCGCTGGCCCAGGGCTGCCTCACACCGTCATCATCACCGCCACACGAGCCATAATTGATCCACTGCTGGACGAAGGCCTTCCCACGCAGTCGTCCTACGATGCCACGATTCAACTCACTCCTTCACATGAGCTAATTTCGTCACTCCATACCTCGTCACTCCATACCTCGTCACTCCATACCTCGTCACTCCATCTCCACAGTGGGTATCCACCCAGCCACAATCCCTCCTTTGGCTGCCATTCAGTCATCAGCCTCGTCCAGTGTCCATTGTCTTTTTTTTAGCAACGTTAGCAGTCAATGTGTTGTCTGTGATTCGTTTTTGTTACCTGATCCGTGTTTCCTCCTTCTGTCTCTCATTGTAATTCCCTGCATGGATCTCTCCACGTGTCTTTGCTCACTTTGTTTTTAAGATGTCAACCCATTTGATTTCCTATCGTACACATTTCCTATCGATGTCAAAGCCCTATGAGTGGTGAATTACATCCCACCTCAGACAAGACTTTGGAATATAAAAATTGTTTATAATAGGTTCTTGAATTCTGCAAAAGTATCCAAAAAATCATATCTCCATTGACTTTTGAACGCGTAAAGGAAATATTGAATGTCTGCAACAAATATTTTTTTGTGGTTGGAAGAGAGCTTTGCCTGCTGGCTTATTTTCGACTTAGCTGCCTTGTAATGGGGAATTTTCCCCTGGGTTTTGACCACGAGGTTGTTGTGTGTGCGAGTTTCGGTTCCATGTGCTGTGAGCGATAATTATCCACTAATCACGCCACTGCACATGACCTGCCGATAGGCAGCGGTGTTCCCATTTATGCAGCTGGGTGGACAAAGATTTGGAAATAACAATGGGGGGGGGAATCTAACAGTAGGGGGGAGGGGGGGAATCTAACAGTGGGCGGGGAATCTAACAGTGGGGGGCGGGGGATCTAACTGTGGGGGGGATCTAACTGTGGGGGGGATCTAACAGTGGGGGGGGGGAACTAACTGTGGGGGGGGGACCTAACTGTGGGGGGGGTAATCTAACTGTGGGGGGGATCTAACTGTGGGGGGGGGGGAATCTAACTGTGGGGGGGGGGGGATCTAACAGTGGGGGGGATCTAACTGTGGGGGGGGAATCTAACTGTGGGGGGGGGGGGATCTAACAGTGGGGGGGGATCTAACAGTGGGGGGGATCTAACTGTGGGGGGGTCTAACAGTGGGGGGGGGGGGGGAGATCTAACTGTGGGGGGGGACCTAACTGTGGGGGGGGGGGAGGAATCTAACTGTGGGGGGATCTAACTGTGGGGGGGGGGATCTAACTGTGGGGGGGATCTAACAGTGGGGGGGATCTAACAGTGGGGGGGGAATCTAACAGTGGGGGGGTCTAACAGTGGGGGGGGGATCTAACTGTGGGGGGGGGATCTAACTGTGGGGGGATCTAACTGTGGGGGGGGGAACTAACTGTGGGGGGGGGGGAATCTAACAGTGGGGGGGGGACCTAACTGTGGGGGGGGAATCTAACAGTGGGGGGGGGACCTAACTGTGGGGGGGGGGGAATCTAACTGTGGGGGGGGGAATCTAACTGTGGGGGGGGGGGGAATCTAACTGTGGGGGGGGAATCTAACTGTGGGGGGGGGGGAATCTAACTGTGGGGGGGGGTCTAACAGTGTGGGGGGGGATCTAACAGTGGGGGGGTCTAACAAACGATCCCATTATTTGAACTGCCGTGCCATGAGATGATGAAGCAGCAACCTCTGGACCAAGGGCGTCCTACATTATTCAAGTTATATATATATCTATTTAAAAAAATGTCCATTGTACTCAAGCGCGGAAGCGCGGGGATTGAATCCAGCGTCCCCAGCGCCGTTGGTTTCGTGGCGGCTCTGACCGATGCAAAGGTGGCGAGCGCGGCGGCTCCACGCAGCGGCGGCCTGTTCCTTCGGCGAGGGCCCCAACGCGGTCGAGCGGGGTCGACGTCGTGGCCACAGGATCCTAACGAAACTCGCCTCCGGCAACATCCTCACTCTGCTTTGTGCCGCGCCAAGCAAATTCAAATGAACCGCCCCACCTCTGGTCACGCGCGTCCGTGGTTTTTTTTGTGTGTGTGTGTTGAGAACGTGGCGCTGGTGGGGGTGGGCGGAAAGGTGTGCAGCACGTGACGGTGTCACGTCGTTTTACATTTTTACTTTGTCCACAAAATATGCGGTCGGGTGAGACTGTCGTACCCAGGCAAACAACACGTGATAGCAATGCGTGAGTTTTTTCGCAGTTACGCTCTGCAAGGTTTGTCCAGGATGTCTTGCGACTCCCGTTTCATTCTCTACAACTTTATATATTTCCTGTA